TTTCACCTGTGTACTAGCCGTTCGTTACTTCTCAGAACAGCTCATGTGCCTGTTTCTACCGTGAAGGGCAGGAAGGGGGAAGAGACTGTTAGTTTCTACTGTTCGGAGTGGAGCTTAGCTTGAGGAGATGTAGGCGCCTGGCTTGCAAGAGACTTTTTTGAGCAACTTCTTTCTGAAGTGGAGTGGAACTGAGGATTCAGGTGAAATAGTGAGGGCAAACATGATCTCTCTCTCTCTCTCTCTCTTCTACAAGTTTGCTTTTATGAGTGATTGAGCTATTTATTGTGTAGTGAGGTGAGATGCTCGCACAGCAGATGCTAAGCACAGTGGTCCCCTTTGCAGATTGAGGTTCTGGAGAAAACAACCACGATCTATGAGGAAGATAAGCGCAATCTGCAGCAGGAGCTCGAGAGCCAGAATCAGAAGCTTCAGCGGCAGTTTTCAGACAAGCGCAGATTAGAAGCCAGGTTGCAAGGCATGGTGACAGAAACATCGATGAAATGGCAGAAGGAATGTGTGAGTGTTCTTCTTAGGTTAAATACTGTGCATTTCTGTGCTGTGGCAGAGCTTTGGTGTTTGTTAATCTCTGGAAGACGTGGAGAACTGTCATTTTCCAGGAGTAGAGTTGGTGAGGTGGTGTGCTTGTGTAGAGGGATAAAGCAGACTGTAATCTGCCGTTGATCTCTGTAGGAGCGGCGGGTGGCAGCCACCCAGCTGGAGATGCAGAATAAACTCTGGGTCAAAGACGAAAAGCTCAAACAGCTAAAGGCCATTGTGACTGAACCTAAACCCGAGAAGCCAGAGAGACCTTCCCGGGAGCGGGACCGGGAAAAGATCATTCCGAGGTCCGTCTCTCCTTCGCCTGTGCCTGTAAGTGTTTGCCGCTGTATGCAGCTTAGTGCCAGAGAATTTTTTTTTTCCATTTAGAGGAGTGTTTCTGTTTCATGTTATATTTTAAGCTTCTGCTTTTAAAACTTAGCACAAAAGGGCAGGGCATAGTGGCGCACGCCTTTAATCCCAGCATATGGGAGGGAGGTTGAGTCAGGCAGATCTCTGTGAGTTTGAGACCAGCCTGGTCTACACAGAGTTCCAGACCACCCAGGGTTACAGAGTGAGTTCCTGTCTCAAAAACACCAAAAGCATATCACAAAAATTTAGTGCCTTTAGTTTCTTACAGTGTTAAATCTTCATGTAGTGAAATTGTAGAAAAGTATATTGTTCCTCTCTGTTTTTTCAGTCTTATTCATTAATTTTTCTTCAATTTTTCTAGCTTTCTAGTAACAATATTGCTCAGATTTCCAACGGCCAGCAACTCATGAGCCAGCCACAGCTACACAGGCGCTCTAACTCTTGCAGCAGCATTTCTGTAGCTTCCTGTATTTCGGAATGGGAGCAGAAACTATCTCCGTTCAGCACACCTGTCAATGTCACCTCTCTTGCAAGGCATAGGCAGCAGGAGCCAGGACAAAGTAAAACGTGTATCGTGTCAGACAGAAGGCGAGGGATGTACTGGACGGAAGGCAGGGAGATGGTCCCTACATTCAACAGTGAGATAGGCGTAGAAGAGGACCGTTGCCGCAGGGTTTGTGCCAGCATTCTTTAAAGCACTGTAGTGATAGACTTACCGCCTTTGCTCTTTGTAACTTGGTTTCAGAGTTTGACGGAAAGCTGGATAGGCTCCAAAATGAAGGAGCCCTAACTTTTCTGTTAAAGACTGAGCCACCTGAAATTAAGACTAAGTTCTTTGTGTGAGAAAGCTCATGTGTCTATGAGCTCTGAATGTCAGCCAGAATGGTGCCCCCTAGAGGAGACTGCTCGCCTGAACAAGGAGTTTTGCACAGAATCTAGGAACATGAGTGTCTTGCTTCCTTGATTCCTCACTCTCTTATTTTTTTCTCCCCCTACTTCCCCACTGCTCCCACTTTTGCTGGGGATAGAGCCTAAGGTTTCAACATGCTAAGATGCTAAGCAATGGCTCTATCATTGAGCCATAATCCCCCAACCCAAATATGAATATATAAACTACACTTCTTTTTTTCCTGTTTGATTTCTCTTCCTGAATTTTTTTTCATGCTGGAGAAAAGGTTTTTTTGTTGTTGTTGTTGGTTTTTTTTTGTTTTTTTAGTTTGATTAATAGGTTGGATACTCTCCTGCCTCCACCTTCAGCAGAGTCGCTATTTTGTGCAAGTCCTTCCTCTTCTGAGGCATTCCACAATAAGTCACAGATGCTGTGACACTCGAGCATTTCCCTGTGCAGCCACCGTCTTTACCACTTTGAAGACAGCATTTTCTGTGTGGAGAGCCCTCACTGCTGCCTGCTCTCATGATGGCCTTTCCTTTCAACCCAGGCTACTGTCCAGATGCATGCACTACATCCTCTTACATGTACATCCTCTTACATGCCGGGTGGTGGTGGCGCAAACCTTTAATCCCAGCACTCAGGAGGCAGAGGCAGGCAGATCTCTGTGAGTTCAAAGCCAACCTGGTCTACAGAGTGAGTCCCAGGACAGCCAAGACTGTTACATAGAGAAACCTTGTCCCACAAACCAAAAAGATTCTCTCACATGATTTAGGATGTAGGTAAAGCCCTGCAATCTGATTACTAATGATGGTGACCAGTCTTGGGTTCTTACAAGGCAACAGACAATTCTATAGTCTCAAGTTCCTGCTTTGCAGATTTTACTTTGAGCCTTTTAGGGTGCAAATCATGGTGAATGGCCTCTGTGATCACCTCTAGTAAATCATCCTCTTTTGTGTCTGACTCCAGCCTGCTGGGAGGTCTGTTTTTACCTGCCAGCAATAACGGAATGCCTGGCTTGGCCATGCAACAGTCAGGGGAATAAACTAAGACACAGACTTTAACTTCTTTCTTGCAATCCAGATCTCTTTAGAAGTGCAGCAGAAAAGTTTCCATGAGGTTAGTATCTCTGTATTCGTGTTCATTGATCAGAAATTATCAGGTGGACCGAATTTCACATTTTGGTGAGGAAAGAGTTTCAAAATACTTAAGTCATGACTACTAGCAGATTCTCTGCATTCTGTCCCCTTTCCAAAGTTTGATTTGAATGTATTATACTGTAAATGTGTTCAAGGAAGCTCTTCTGCCAAGTGCTAGATCCTAAGACCTAGGTTTTCTTATTCACCGTCAGACCATTTTCAGAGTGAAGGTTTTCTGCCTGCATGGAAGCTTAGTATCTTTCCTGGCAAGTTGTGGTGACTGTTGTAGAGTTGTCGTTAGGGCTTCCCTGAGCATTTGGCTGGGTCGGAAGGGCTCTGACTCATTTCTTTTCAGTTTTGTGAACAGGAGTCGCCCACAATTGCTTACGCTACCATATCATGTATATGAAATACATTTTCTGAAGTTGAATGTGCTGTTTAACTTGGCACACATGGCATTTGACTGGAACACTAGTTTTTATGATACAAGCTGATTTCATAGCATAGTCTTTGATTCTTGAAACTTGTAAGAAACATTTGGAGAAAAATAATTGAAGATACTGTGGAATTGCGTTTTGAGATATAAAAATCCTTACTGCAAGCACCTAGAAGTACTTAGCACCGTTTAGGCGTGCTGCACTTGAAGTTGTGTGTTCCTATGTTCTTCAGGTGTTTGCTAAGTGAGAACTTCAACAGCTTGCAGTTTTTTGGTCTGGCTGTATATGGAGGAATGTTTTCTATTAGATGCCTAGACATAGCTTAAGTGTTATTTCTCCTGCTGATAACCTGCAATACAGACCTTCTAATCTATGTATTAGTTCACAAAGCAGGCATAATAATTGGTTTTTGATCAAGAATGCAAAATGGATTATTTTTCCTGAACTTGCCATGAACAATATCTGGAGTCACCACAATTCTATCTTTTGCCGTTTGTTGAAACGGAAGCTCCCATATGACTATGCTCTGTATACACTGTTGTCTAAAGATGCCTGTTGGTTCAGTTTGGTAAGAGAACATTAAATGATTTACATGTTTAGCTTGGACAGGTCTGATTTCTGTTGTTGTGAATTTGTATGTAAACTGCTGCACTTCTAACGGTTTCTCCAAGTAATCCTGGGTTGTGCTTGTTTCTCAATTCCTCTTTCAACCTGATCAGAACACACCAATTCCTGTACGACACAGAAGGTCCCGCTCTGCAGGGAGCAGATGGGTAGATCATAAGCCTGCCTCTAATGTGCAAACTGAGACAGTCATGCAGCCACATGTCCCTCACGCCATCACAGTGTCTGTTGCAAATGAAAAGGCACTAGCTAAGTGTGAGAAGTACATGCTGACCCACCAGGAACTAGCCTCCGATGGGGAGATTCAGACTAAAGTAATTAAGGTAAAAACAAGTCTTCACAAAAGACTACCAGTGAAAAATATTTGCCCTGCTATCCTTTGATGAGATCTAGGGCTTAAATGGGGTGTTGGGTGGAACTTTTGTTTTAGTAGAAAATTGATGTAATGCTTAGGTTGTGAATCTGCTGGGGCTGGATCTGCTTAAATAGGCCCAGAGTCTTGGGTTCTTAGTACTCCAGATCTATGATGTATTTTAGTTACATCATATTTAGCTAAAATATAGTTTCAAAAGTAAACCCAGAGCCATACTGACAACTTCTTGGAACCCTAGTACTTGGTAGGCCAAGGTAGGGAGGTCACCAGTTTGAGCCCATCCTGAAGCACGTAGTTGTCTTGAAGGACCAGACAGCAACAGAAAGCAAACCTAACAACGATCTCCTGTTTTGCCGTTATGTCAAGATAAAATGTTTGCTTTAAAACTTGTTCTGTACTGGGCGGTGGTGACGCTTGCCTTTAATCCCAGTACTCTGGAGGCAGAGGTAATTGGATCTAAGTGAGTTCAAGGCCAGCTTGATCTACAAGTGAGTTCCAGGACAGCCAGGGGAATGCAGACAACTCTCCTTTCCCCCTCAAAACAAACAAACAAAGAAAAACCCAACAAACAAAACTTGTCCTGTGGTCAGGCATGGTAGCACTTTTAGGAGGATCTCAGTTAAGAGTTTCAAAGTAAATAACACACAGAATTTGATTGGGAATGTTACTCAGTGGTGAACTACCCAAAATCTTTCTTGTAAAGAAGAGACTTTCCTGTCTATAGAAGACTTTTGATCTTATGTCTAGTGGAAAAAGT